TGCCTCCACCAGTGTGTGAATGTGAGAGTGAATGGGTGGATGACTGGACGTGTAAAAGCGCTTTGGGGTCCCTAGGTGGGACTAGTAAAAGCGCTATACAAATACAGGCCATTTACCATTTACCATCGACAGATATCCAAATTTATGGTATCAGTATTGGACATAAAAAAAAGTGGTATCGTGCCATCTCTAGTAAACAGCCCAAATAATCACATTACCCGCTATAAGGAAGCACTTTGGCAACAATGGGGAAGAAAGACGAAAGATACAATCTTCATTTTAACAGGAAGAATCCTCTGGCAGATCCAGAAAAGGGCACAACCAGTTAGGGTCAGGGGAGGAAAACAGATCAAAAGATGCTGAGAAACAGATTAATAACACCTCCTGATTAAATGCAGAGAGCTGTATGAAAAGGTGTATATGAAGTGCAATAGATAGAAATTTCCTGTGTGTGATTGTTTATGTCATATGTGCATGAAAGAAACAGGAATTGAAGAATTAAATTATATAAAGGAAGTGTTTCCAGCTCTTCCTCCTCTATCAGACATTCTCTCCATACCTGAGATTGTCCAGTCTCCAGCCTGGTTCCTTCTGTCCTGCCGACAGCAGCTTCATTCCTGAATCACCTGGATGATTGTAGCTCAGGTCCAGCTCTCTCAGATGGGAGGGGTTGGAGCTCACAGCTGAGGCCAGAGAAGTACAGCGTTCCTCTGTGATCAGACAGCCTGACAGACTGCAGACAAAAGAAAATGAATAATAATAATAATACATTTTATTTAAAATTACCTTTTAAAACACTAGGGACACTGTACAGCAAATAAAAACAGGCATAAAAGTCACAAAATATACACAATAATAAGAGTAGCAGATAGAAAGTTTAACATCAGGGATAGGTTATTAGGAGTAGTGTGAGTACAAGAAAACCATTATTACAACATAATGTGTTAAATTTGCTTAGATTTGCTGCTGGATCTAGATTTAGATCCAGCAGTAGATCAGAGGAATAAGGAAAGATTTGTCTGTGTGTTTCAGTCTGTTTTAGCTGTAGGCTTGAGAGTGTGTGTAATGGTGTAGAGGGAAAGAAATAAAAGGTCTGCATGTCATAAAAGGAGACAGGAAGCTACAGTTGGGGGATGCTGATGCTTGTACTTTAATAAAAGCTCATAATTGTCATAACTTAGAAGTAGGTTTGCAGGAGACTCTCCACATGCTTATCTGTAAATGTAAGACAAGAAGAGGCCAATGGCCCACCCAGTGGATGAAGAGTGGGAATCACAGTGTTTGTAATGGTAAATGGACTGATTCTTATATAGCGCTTTTCTACTCTCCAGGAGTACTCAAAGTGCTGTATACAACATGCCTCATTCACCCATTCACACCCACTCATACAAGCACTTCTAAACTCAAGTGCAACTAATAAGCATTCACACTCCGATGAACACATCGGATGGCAACATTGGGTTAGTATCTTGCTCAAGGATATTTGGCATGTAGACTGGGGCGGCCCGGAATCGAACCACCAACCTTCCAAACAGTAGTTTGGAAGATCATCATAGATCATATACACCCCTGTATGTATGTAATATAATAACTCTGTTTTGTATGTTTTCTAAAGGAATTTGTTGTAGCTTGGGTGAGAGGAGATTACTTTTATAAAAGGCAGGAAGTGACAGATACAGAGACACACACACAGTGCTTTAACTGTTTTGACGTACCCACACGCACACTCACTCACGTGCACTCACATAGACACATGGGCACGCGCACACAGGCACTCACATGCTCGTGCACACATACACAAACAGAGTTTGCAACACACCGTGGGGGTTTTATGATGGGGTCGCTTCTATAAAACTGGTTGTCACAAACAAAGAAGTGGAGATCTGTAGAGGAACACCGGCCTGGCACGTCTCCCCTTCTAGAAGATGCATGCTTAACTGAAGATGAATAAAGGTTTTTGTGAAAATGACTACTGAGTCCGGTGCCATCTCTGGATGCCCGAGGAATAAAAAGAACCGGGGTGAAACTGTTTTGTAACAGTAGGCAATTTTAAACAGGTGGGCTTTGAAGTTGGACTTAAAGAGGGAATGAAGTGATGTTTCTGAGGTCTGGGGCTAAGGAATTCCAAAGTAGGGGGGCAGAGTGGCTAAAGCCCCTCAGTTAAGCAGAGGGTGAGGGAGGGTGGAGGGAGATTAGAGTCGGGTTTGGTGGAGAGGTAAAGCTGGGTGTCGTCGGCGTAACAGTGAAACTGAATATTATATTGTGTCCAAGTGGGAGAAGGTAATTAATGAAAAGGAGGGGCCCAAGGACAGATCCCTGGGGCACTCCAGTAGACTGAGGAAAAGGCTGAGAGGTGAAGGATTTTAATCTGATGAAGTGAGTGCCGTCAGAAAGGTAGGATTTGAACAAGGCTAGTGGGGTATGAGAACACCCCACTAGTCTGTACCCCAAATCACCACTTTCTGCCAGAGACTACAGAACACATGTTATTAAAGCTTCTCTACCATAATGAAACATCTATGTGAAAGCTGTAATTTTTTTCTCTATTGATCTATCCATTTTATTTTCCATATCAGTGTGTATCTGAGGCAAATACATATTGATTTGTGTTACTGAATGTATCTTAATGAGTTGAAAAACAGACCCAAAACCTTATATCCATTCTTTCAATTGACAGGTGTTGTTGATTTTTATTTTTATTTTTATTTCCTTTTTAAAAACATCAAGTTTACATGTAATGAAATGTGCTATAGAAATAAAATTGCCACTGATATGTCATTTATTTATTTAGGTTTCCAACGTTATTTTTGTATGAGTTATGTTTTTTTTTTTAATTTTTAATTTGAGGAAGTCAGGGATGGATGAGGAGATGTCTAAAAGTCTCATCATGTAGTCAGCCAGAAACAATCAATTCCACCAGGGTGTAAGGGTTAACGTGAATAAATCAAACTCCAATATATAAACATACTTTGTAAAAACCTAATTAATACAGAAAAGGAATCAAACTGAAAAGTTTTGTTGATTGAAGTAAAAAGTTTTGAATTATGGGACAAGATAAAAGTATAATTTGGAGAGACCAAGATTTGTACTTCCTTTTCGCCTTTCCTGTAATGCCATAGTATACCTTCCTTTCATTTTTCTGGGTTTATTGTATCACTCCTGCAATTTTTATCAGACCACTGGCAGTAGCAATTAGACAGGCTACAGTAATTAAGGACATAAAATGCAAGAATGTAAAACATAATATCAGTCTTCATGCGGATGATGTGTTGCTTTTTCTCTAAAACACAAACAAATCTTTCTGAAGCAGTTGCACTAATGAACTCTTTTTCAGGAGTTTCAGATTGTTCAATTAATTGGTCAAAATCAACAGTTCTTCCTAATAATTGCTCCTTCCATAACTCTTCTTCTACCCCACTCCAATCTGGAAATATTAAATATTTAGGTATAAATGTCTCTCCTAAGCTTGCAGACTAACTAAATTACACCACATCCCACTCTAAAAGACAGTAGAAGGCGATCAGGCTAGATGGAAATCTCTGGGGAGGGGGGCCTGGGAGGAGAAGTTGACAATCCGAATGGGGAATGTGGGGCCTCTCTGGTGCTGCGGAGTCGGGGTGGTGTGCTTCTCTCCACCCCAGGGAAAAGGGTAACACTACCTGGGTCTGGGTGCAGTTTCCCCCTCCAGGGGCAAGGGTACCTAGACCCGGTTCTTAGAGTACGCTTGGGGAGTGTGATTGTGTGTACAGTGTCTCTCTATGTCTGTCTCCACGTTGGGTGAGTGTTGAGTAATTGCATATGAGAGCATGAGGGTGGGAATGGATGTTTGTCTGTGTCCATATGTCAGGTCGGGTATCAG